AAAAAAAAGACAAGACAAGACAGAGAACACAAAGGGTCAAGGGAACGCAGCCAAAAAGTCTTTTTGCGGGGTCGCGGGAACAAGAACAATAGAGTGATCAGCAAAGGTTGAATAGAGACCACTGGACGCTTCATGTAACAAACAAAAAGAGTCCGGTTGTCTCAATGCAAGTTTTGTTGATGACCGTGACCTGGATGGCTCCTACCTTGTTTGGGCTTTTCCAGGGCCAATTCAGTATACCATAATTAGTCCAAAGGATAGATTTTTCAAACAAGGTTAGATTAGATTTGAAAAACTCAAACATAATTAAAAATGCGCCTAAATGTACTGCTGTGAGACGATTTATTTATTTTGTTGTTGTTGTCGTTTTGGGTGTGTTACTTATCAAATTTAATGAAATTTTGATCGATGTGATGACTGATTGGACTTTGACCACTATTGCTTTCACCTTTTTTATTCCATGTCTGTACGTGTGAATGCGTGCACGTGTGTGTGTGTGTGTGTGTGTGTGTGTAAGGTTGAATAGAGACCACTGGACGCTTCATGTATATATATATATATATATATATATATTCTGTTTTAATGATTGTTTTTATTGTTTTCTATTTTTATTTTTAAGTAATTTTTTATCAAATACTACATATTTGTTCATTAATATTAGACGTATTTAATACTGTTTTCTAATATTTTTAATTTTGTATATAATACCCCTGAAAACTTAAATCATAGAGTAATGCAGTCAAATTACACCATAATCAAGATTTATTATCAAGTGACAGAGAGTGAAGAATATGTCATAATATGAAATAAAAAAAAAAAAAGGAATCCTGAGCATTTACAAGTGCAGGTTATTGTTTAGAATATTCTCGAAGTACTTCCTGTACAGTAGGTGATGATAAAAAGAATGAACTAATGATGAATGTTGAAAAATGGAAACATAAAAAAAACACAGAAAAAAAACGTATTTTTAAAAATGTAGATTAAAAACAAAAAACAAATGAAGATGGTAAAGCAGTTGAAACAAAACTGTGTAAAGTTCTGTCTACATTTTGCATGGAATGTCATTGAATTACAGATGCAGGTGTACCTAATTAACTACGTGATCAGCACACACACGCTCATGCACACGTTCATTCAGTGTAAGCAGTTTCCTGAGCAAACCTGCCGAGGTTTCACTTCCGTCATGATCTCAAGTTGGAACGTTAGGGGGTATCAGATGGCGAGTTGTGTGCTGATGCTAACAAAAATAGGCAAAAAAAAAGCATTTAACACTGCGGGGTTGCTTTTTTGCTCTTCCGTCCGTTCAGGTTACGGGGAGGACTGAAGCTGCCTGAATGCCAGGCAGCAGGACCGAGGTCCACGCAGGACACCTTTCTGTATTCCTGACACTCAAGGAGACGGACAGCGATGGAGGTTTGCGAAAAAATGTGTAGTGAACAGGGACTGGGCAATGACACAAATTGCGAAAAACAAAACAAAACAAAACAAAACAAAACAAAACAAAAAAATAACAAAAGAAAGTTGTTAATGCATATCGATTTCACAAGATGGCAACAAACCACTTAAAGTTGAGAGTATGATAAAGAGCTTCAACACCATGCATCTAGCATATGCACAATCATGAACCCATGTGACATAAATGACTGTAATCGGGAGTGGCATTATTCACACAAACAAACCATCTTCAAATGGGGCATAGTGTAACGGCTAGCATACTGGCCTGAATAACACACTCCCACAACTTTTTGCTCTTTACACAAAATATTACATATTGAGGAATACAGTACCGTCCAATTACAATGGGAATGTCGACTACACCAGCTATCAATAGCATTGAAAGCAAAATCATACTTTCCTTTTCACTTTTGACAGCGCTTGTGGTGCATTCAAGGAACACCAACAAAAGAGGACCTCTAAAATGTAACAAAAAAAATACTATCGATTAATTCATCCTAACATCAATACCAAGGTTTTAATGCTTTTTTTTTCTTTTTCCTCAGAATAAAAACAGTCAGTTGACAAGATTTTCATCTTCATTTCAGAGGATAGGCTCCAAAAAAAAAAAACAATCAGCAAAATTGCTGATTGGATTTAATTTTCTTTTCATTTTTCAGCAATACTGGTTTCGTATTTGTTCTTACATTGTTTTTTTTCGAAAGCATACAGTATTAGTTACACAAGCAGGCAGAATTGGGCACTCCATTAGTATTGATGGAAAATCCATCAATACGTCACTAACGGATGCCCGGTTTGCTGATGAAAGATGAGAAGCTTCAAAAAGCTGATGGACTAAGCACTGACAGATGTGGGGTTCAATTCGTCAGTGTAATCGTCTTCAACCGGGTCAGTACCGATGGACCATCTCAGTCACGAATGGACTTGTTTCACTGATGACTGACAGGAACACGTGTGTTGTTGTCTCGCGTGTTTGTTCACCGGGGTGAATACACTCGAGGGTTGCTTTGAGCAGACTGCATTGACTATATATGGTAAAGCTTAGCAGTTCCTGTGCAGTAGGTGGAGGTATGCACCAAATTGTTGTGTTGTGTATTGAGCTCAGTGTGGATGACGTAGCTATAAGGGGGAGTGCGCATGTGTTGTGTGGCAAGCGGGCGCATCAAGCAGTTAACATGGAAGTGGGTGCCCCCTAAGACTTTGGGCCGAAGTGGATGTGTGTGAATGTGAATTGTAAGTTAATCAGCTAATGAGTTTTCAAAAAACTGGACACCAGTACGGTCAGTGAAGCCCATCTCAGCAGTGTAGGAAAGCCCTACCGTTCTCTCTCACGTCGTCACGCTTGGCAAAGAATGAAAGCCGTTTGCCTCAGAGAGAATGGTTCCTCAGCTTTAGGATGCCGGTGATGCCTGCTGGTGTGGAGGATTTCATTTTAAACGACTTGGAGTCCACCTTTGGCCACAATGTGGAGAGGGATCCTGGATACAGTAAACTATTTTATACTTTAAAGTAACATTTTTGGTGTTTTAGGAGTGAAAACAGTGGCATATTGAACACATGACTTCCTCCCTGCTGTACTTTACAGTTCAATAGATTAGGTTTGCAAATAAGTACGTGAATGTGAGATCTTTGGGCAGCCACCGTAAGATGTAGATGCACTGATACATACTTGCCCACCTCTGCAAGTGAGAATTTTTGATTACTGCTGTGACAAATGAATTTTCCTCGCAGGATAAATAAAGTATTTATCCATCTATCGAATCTCTATCTAGGTTCCTCTGGTTAACTTCGAAAACATGGATGATGTGGGCATCAACTTGGGCGACCCCAGCGACTCCGGCTACCCGACGTCACCCACATCGGAGATCCCGGATCTTGAGCAAACGCCCCGCCGCCTGGCATCCCCGCGTCCATCCCCACGTCCATCCCCTTGCTGGGGGCGGCGTGAGGGTGCGTCTTCTTCCACGCCATCCAAAGCCACTTCCAGTAGCTGCAGCCTGATCTCTAATCTAAAGCTCCTGGTGAGTGGCGAGTCATGTTCCGACGGCGTCTTCAGCAGGATGCCGAGAGACTGCTATGACAACGAGGACTTGTTTGAGAAGACCGGCGCAGAGGAACGAGACCAGAAAGTGATTATCAACGTTTCGGGCCTGATGTTCGAGACCCAGCTGAGCACACTCAACCGCTTTCCCGAGACTTTACTGGGTGACCCCGCCAAACGAATGCGCCACTTCGACCCTATGAAAAACGAGTATTTCTTTGACCGTAACCGGCCTTCCTTCGACGGTGTCCTGTACTTCTACCAGTCTGGTGGGAGGGTCCGCAGGCCAGCCAACGTCCCGTTAGATGTCTTCGCCAGTGAGATCGTTTTCTATCAACTGGGCCACGAGGCCATGGAGCAGTTTCGCGAAGACGAAGGGTTCATCAAAGAGCCTGAGGTCCTATTGCCCACCAACGAGCTCCAAAGACAGTTCTGGCTCCTGTTTGAATACCCTGAGAGCTCCAGTGCCGCCAAAACTGTTGCTCTCGTCTCAGTTTTCGTCATTGTCATCTCCATTTTTATCTTTTGTCTGGAGACTTTACCAGAGTTTAGGGAAGATGGCGATTTCACTCCCGGTGTGGATCATGTTCTTAATGGGACTAGAGACGGTTCAAGTCCTCACCCTACCACCAAAGCCATCGTAGCCTACCTCACAGACCCTTTCTTTATTATAGAGACCATTTGCATTATCTGGTTCTGCTTCGAGGCCGGTGTCCGGTTTGCCGTATGTCCCAGTAAGAGTGATTTCTTCAACAACATCATGAACATCATCGACATTGTGTCCATTATTCCTTACTTCGTCACGCTGGGCACAGAGCTCGCGACCACCCCCGGCGATGACACCAATTCTAGCCAGAACATGTCACTCGCCATCCTGAGGATAATCCGCCTTGTGAGAGTATTCCGCATCTTCAAGCTATCCCGCCACTCCAAGGGACTCCAGATCCTGGGGCAGACCCTCAAGGCAAGCATGCGAGAGCTGGGCTTGCTTATCTTCTTCCTGTTCATCGGCGTCATCCTCTTCTCCAGCGCCATCTTCTTCGCCGAAGTCGACGAGCCACAGACACAGTTTGTCAGCATCCCGGATGGATTCTGGTGGGCAGTGGTTACCATGACCACGGTGGGCTACGGAGACATGTGCCCCATCACCATGGGCGGTAAGATGGTGGGTACCCTGTGTGCCATCGCAGGGGTGCTGACCATCGCTCTGCCTGTGCCTGTCATCGTGTCCAACTTCAACTATTTCTACCACCGTGAGACGGAACAGGACGAGAAGCAGATGATCGATGCCGCCACCGAAGCGCAGAAGAGCTCGGTGGCCGACAAATACGACAGCGCAACGTCGCTCGACAAGAGCACCTGGAACGTCGAGAAAAATGGCTTCCACTCCTAGAATAACAATTTCTTCAGCCATTTTTGCAGCATGATGACTGTATTTAGCTTTTACTCAAGTTGTCTTCTTTTGGACAAAGTGAAATAAACACTACCCAGCACAAGAGGAACCCTTTTAACAAGTGCAATTTCCTGCCATCCATCTTAAATAGCACTGGGCTATTTGTTTGGGTTTGGGTAAAGTACTGGCAATTGAGCTCTCCCCCACCCCCTCTTCACACCAAAAAACAACCCCCCCACCCAAAAAAAGAAAAACATGTTAATCCAGAATTGGTGAACAATTTAGGCACCAACATTTTTTAAAGAAAAACATGTAATAATATACGGTAATCAGATAATTTCATTCATCCAGTACCCTGACAATAAGTGAAATCTGCATGATAGAAATGCCCTCTTAAGCTACTTTCTAAGCATGTTTGTACAGCGCAATTTTTGAACGTCTTTAAACAGATGTTTAAAGTTCTACAAAAACATTTGAACACATCAATTATATTAAGAGCGAGTAAGAGCAATGGATAAGACGAAAATTTTTTTTTGCAGTGTAGCGATGCCTTTTTGTGTACACAAATCCCATTTTTCCCCAAACAATTAAACTTATCATCTCACATTATACATTAATAATCATGCGCAAAGATGTGCATTCTAAAATGTGCCTACAGTCATTGCTTTCTGTAGGCATAGGATGGCAGAGGATGTCATTTAATAATGTTCAACAAAAATTATTTTATATTTATTATATTTATATTTTTATATTTCAAAGGTACACAGTCTCAAACGAAATTGTGTGCTCCCATCTTGTGCTCAATCGTGGAATTACACCTGAACTAAAGAGCAGCCAAACAATACAGCTTCATTTATTTAGGGAGATTTGAACCAATCTCTGTGTTTGTCAATGGACAGAGAGAGAGAGAGAGAGAGAGAGAGAGAGAGAGAGAGAGAGAGAGAGAGAGAGAGCTATTTGGTATTTTTATTCAAATTTGGGAAACACTTTTGAGTTACATTTTCTCCCAGGACAACTGTGATATATTCAACAAGGATATGTTTGTGTCTTTTTTTTTTTTTTGCATGGATTGCTTGATATTGAGAGAATCCACTTATGGTCCAAGCACTGACCATTTGGCTCACAATTTGGCAAGAAAAAAAAGCAATACAAATAATGCATTTAAATCAAATAATTGTGGGCATTTCGAGTATTTGCAATAATATTGTCTTTGTCAAGGCATAATGTTCATTATTTGGGGGTACTTAAAGAAGTGTCCAGTGTCCTTGCAGCCTGTCCTTCTTGGGGTGACCACTCCCCAGGCACCTCTTCCATTACAAAAACAACAACAACAAACCCATTACTTCCATTGAGGGTTCACTTGAACACATGCTAATCTACAATACTTTCAAAAATTATGTGAGACATTGTTAATAGTAGTTTTACTAAAATGACATCTGATAAATGCTATAGTTTGCACGTTGTAGATGAGCCGCAAAATATCAATCAAATGCTAATGTAACGCGCATGCAGAAAAAATAAAATAAAATGACATTTGCTATCTCAGCAAGTGAACATATTTATGCAATAGTACAATTGAAAGAGCTTCTTAAATGATTGCACTGAATGATAATCTTCACATACGCACTTTGTGAGGCTCTTAATACATGCAGGGAAGCACATTTATCATCACCATCCACAAATGTGACATACTGTAAGATCCATATATGTGATGTAATAGAATAGTGTGTGTGTGTGTGTGTGTGTGTGTGTGTGTGTGTGTGTTTGCACACGATAAGTGAAATAAATATTGCATCATTTATACGGTATGGCATGCAGGAATGAGGCTCATACTAAAGTTTGACATAATGAATGTAGCTTATTATAAGGATTTTAATGGTCTAGTAATAATCAAGTGAGAATGTGAGACATGCATGCCACATTTCAATTATGACAATGTGCCTCTGTGACACGTATAAGTAGAGTTTCTATAGCAAAGGCCGAGAATGTAATCTTGCAATTAATGTACTGTAGGCAATAATGATGCCGCAAGCACGTCGGGGAACCCTATTTGACCCTAGGAACACAGCAATAATTAATATGGGAGCCAATGAGATCATTTAGTGACTTGGCTATTCAGCACTTTATGTTAGGAAGAAGCACTTATTCTTATTGAGTACAGGTGAGCCAGTGAGAATTGGAGTGGGCTAACTCCATTTTGTCATTTTTCAGGAGAGTGCACAAAGTCCACTGATGAATCAGGAAAGGATGGACTGCCTCCTATAGGTCAAAATTAGAACTGAAACTTGATTTGGAACTACAGTAGTTTCATTTGAAAGATGTGCCTGCCTACTCTCTTTTGATTTCTGCATGCACTTAACTTGAAAATGACCAAAATGTAGTTGACCCTCTTTATTACTTAGTGGCTCAGTTCGAAAGAAATGAATGACTGAATGCCATGTTATTTATTCTGTAAAGAGTGCCTTCCATTAAACCTGTATGCTAACTGTGTGGAGTCTCCCGCTCATCATTTGGCTAAGAGCTAAGACTGTATCTTCAAACAACAGCTAACTGCAAGCGGCTAATAGTCAACGCTACTATTGAATGGATTTAAATTTTTTTAAGACTAGCTATTTTCTGAAATATTATTTTTAAATATTTTTTATTCCTGTCCAATCATTTTAAAACTTTCAGTCTAGTATGTTTTACCCATACAGACGATTTTCTGTTTTTGTATCTTTATATAAAATGTTTGTATTTTTTTGCATATTTTGTAATGTTTTCAAATATTTTCTTAAATTTCATTTATTTTTCATTAGCGTTTTCAACTTGTATAAAAAAAGCGGCATTATGTTAAAATGTTTGTATTATTTTCAAAATATTGATAGTGCTTTGTGTTTTTTTGTCATAACACTATTAGTAATTTTTTCTAATGTTTTTGTATTTATCATCTAATATTTTCGGTTTTACCAATCGATTGGGCACCGTCACTGCAGTGTTTTTGACGGACGCTTCTTCTGACTCGGCTTCAAACGGCCGACTGAGTAAAGTGGATGAATAATTTATAAAAGCATCCATTGCTGAGAACAAATGTGTCCTTGTGCAGGCAATGGATCACTGACTGAATGGCAGCATTAAGCACACACACACACACACACACACACACACACACACACACACACACACACACACACACAACACACACACACGCACGCACACACGCACACCCGCACACACGCACGCACGCACGCACGCACGCACGCACACACACACACACACACATACACACACACACACACACACACACGCACACACACACACACACACACACACACACACACACACAGGTGACTCTCCCAAGGTCAATGCTGATGTAATGCTGTTGTCATTTATAATTCATCAGGTATTACACTAAAGAAATCTGGAGGAATCCATCCAAAGGTCAGTTGAAATGTAACAAGGCAGTTTTCCATCACAGTCTAAAAATGTTTCATATTTTGGGGAGTTTTAGGTCATATTTTGGATTTCTGACAGGTTATTCGTCTAAAATTTTTCCTTTTTATGACCTCATGTTTTGTATTATATTATTATATGTTGGATTATCCATGTTTTAATCTGTGTTTGTTTGTTTTAATGCTTTTATGTCTTTGTCATCCATTTCTGTTTTTATTAAATGTTTGTATTTTTAGGCAATATAATTTTGAATATTTTCGATTTTGTTGTTTTTCATGTATTTGTTCTATTTCTATTTTTTCTCATACTTTGTTAATATTTTGTATTTGTGCATTTTGTCATATGTTTGTATTTTTATTATATATATTTTTCATTTTGTACATTTTTGTCTGTAGTTTTATTTTTTTCAAATTGGTGTCTCATATTTTGAATTATTTTGAAATATTTTGCCATCATAATGTGTTTTATGAGAAATATTCCATTATTGTATCTGATATATGTGTAAATGTAAAATAATATACATACTTCTTATTTTTATATTCAGGTTTTTGTCTTTTTGTTGTAATATACAGTTTTTGTGTAGGTCATGTACACATTTTTCATGCAATATTGTGTGAAGTCTTTGTTTTTTTATTTTTTTTTAATTCGTCAATATGAGTTTTATTTCTCATATTTTGTATTGTTTACAAAAGTGTGTTACTATATTAACATACTCATACTTTTTTGTGTGATGTCTTCATCTAATAATTTAGTGTTTTGCCATTGACTGATGACCAGTTCAGGGTGTAGTCTGCCTTTCGCCCAAAGACAGCTGAGATAGGCTCCAGAACCTCGCGACCCAGTTCGGGATAAGTGGTTTTGAAAAGAATGGAAGGATGAATAATTTTAGATAATTTAATGTTTTATTAATTTTTTTGTACTTTTAGTGTAATTTAAATATTTTTCATTCAGTAGTCTTGCAATATTTGTATATTTTTTTCGTTTGGAATAATACTTTTTCCTTTTTTGTCTAACTCACTATGTTATTTATTTTTTTTATTGTTTTTGTATTTTCATTGTAATATTTTCCACATTTCCACTATTAAATTGCATGCACCATCTTTCCACCATGGTCTAAAAATAGCATGGTCTCATGACTGGACAAGTCCCGTCCCACCTGGTAAAAATGCATGGGTCTTGCACAATCGGCAGGCCAGTCACAAATCAACTTGTTGGATTTCCGCTCACTCAGCAGACAACTCATGAAATGCATGTAAAACAGGCTTCAAAGTTCAGCATTTGACTTAAGTATGTTGTCGGGATGCGCTGACGGATGGTCTGACCATGATCACAAAATGGCAGCTTATAGCTGCCGTGTCTTATTGATCAGTGACATACTCCAGCGTGACGATTCAGTGAAGTGGCTTTGCCTACTAGGACGTGTTTTGCATTAGTCTTTGGATTTAGTTTTTTTTTTTTAAATGACAAAATGAGAACATGTGTCCGAAAAACTGCTGTGTAAAAAGTTGCCAATTTACATGAGAAATTGACCCACCACAAACAACAGATGGCACTATCATGAGAGAAGGTTTTGGGGGGTTTAGAAGACAGTATATTCGATTGTCTGCCACAAATTGCAAAAAAAAAAAAAAAAAATCAAGTATCTTTTAAAATTGTATACAATTGTTTATATTATTATTTGAACTTTTAATACACAACAAACGATGATCCAAAACACTTTAAATATCATTTGAAACTCTTTTTATGTTATTCTGAAAGCAAAATGGCTTGCAGATGATTTGATTTCAGCAGAGCAAAAACATAAACATGCCCCAAAGACTCTCTGTAAACTTCCGGGAACAACCCAAGCTAATGTTAGTTTACATCTTAATAAACAGCCGAGATGTATTGCTTCAACATATTTCCATAGCGGCAATAAGTACTTTATTATAAACTGAGATTTTGGCGCCATCTTGTGTCATTTTAGAGCATTCCAGAAAAAGTACCGGTAACCAAAAAAATTATGCAAAAAAATTGTGAGTGGACAATATATTCATTGAATGGTTGAGG